GAGGAGAGAATGCAATGATCTATAGGCTGTGATTCTGGCACTATGATCACTGGAAGGGGACAGGAGTCGCATCCGTCATACTTATAGGGTAAGAAGAGGTAAAAATTAAAGAGTAAAGAGGGAGAGGCAGGGGAAAGGAAGACAGGGAGAAACCAGTTCAAGTTTACCCAGGGTCGAGCATACACCCTCCTCTGTAATCAGCCTCACGATGACACATAGGAAATGACAAACTCCGCAGCATCACAGTAGAACAACTCATGGGACAGGAGCTGCCACAGCCACAGCACTTTACAGTTCTGAAGACACTTCATAGTCCTGGCTGACAGGTGGGAGGTGGGGTCCCACGTCTTGATGCAGGAGACAGTGATCCCTGAAGTTGTCTGCTGTGCTGCATGAGTACTTACCCAGACTATGAATGAAAGGACGGCACGGAAATGCTGCTGGGATAAGCACACTGCTTCAGCTGTCTCCCCGTTCTCCCTCCTGTTAGACTCCTTGTGGGACGGTGGACAGAAAGACACCACATGCACACAGCACAGGGCCGAGGAGAAAGGGCTGGGGATTTTCAGACAAAGTTTATGAATTGTTTCCCCTAAAGCAGGTAGAGTTGTTGAAGATAGAAAATAAAGACTAACATAAATAAAATAAATCTGATGTGATCCCGCAGCTAACACACAGGGCTCACATAGGTGTGTGTTTCATTACTTTCTTTTTTATGTTTTTAAAAATGTTATCTATTATTTTGATTTTATGGGTATGAGTATATTGCCTGCATGTATGTAAGTGCACCTATATTGTGCAATGCCCGTAAAGGTCAGAAGAGAGTGTCAGAACCCCTGGAACTGGAGTTACAAAAAGTTGTTAGCCACCATGTGAGTGCTGGGAACCAAACCCAGGTGGTCTGCATGAGCAGCCAGTGTTCTTAACTGCTGAGTCATCTCTCCAGGCTCCTGGTTCCTTTCTTTTGAAAGCATGCCTAGCACTCTGTGTGTAAAATTTAGGACCTGTGTTCTCATGTAACCCTTACCATAAAGATACTCCACATTGAGCAGGGCCTGGGGTTTCATACCTTTAATCCCAGCACTTAGGAGGCAGAGGAAGGTGGATCTCTGTGAGTTTGAGGCCAGTCTAGTCTACTTACAGAGTCCCAGGCCCTCTCCCTAGAGTAGAGTTCTTGGAATAAAAATAAAATTCAAAAACGAGGGGCATCTAGTGCTTTCCAAAGTGACTGAATACATTGATTCTGCCACCCACATGAGGCCTGCAGCAGATTGTCTTTGTCAACAGGAGTAGTTTCCTGGAATGCCACAGGTGGACCCGTGGGAGGGGCTCCAGCTGCCTCTATTGTCTGCAGGAGCACACAGAGGCTGAGGTCCAGGAAGACCATGGGGGCAGTGACCCTGGACTGCGGCTGCCTTTAAGAAGCCTGGTTGGGCTAGGCTAGCTGCACACTTGTTACTCCAAGCAGATTCGCCGGGACTGCCCCTGTTCCCCAGGACTGCCCCTGCTCACTCTCACCTGTCAAGCTGGTGGGCAACGCTCTGAAACTGACCAGGAAGTCAGTCCTCTGAGACACTTCCAGGACTTGCTCCTGCAAGACAAAGGCGGTTCACACTGCCCTGAGAACTTTGGAGGTGGTGCCAAGGCTGGGGTACCTCCAGTCACTGGCTGCAGAGAGCAGGGCTTTCTGCCTGTCTGGTCCTTGCTGCAGCCTCCACCTAGGAACAGGCACCCGGTAAGTAGACGCTCAGCACATCCTTGCTGAGTAGATGCGGGGCCGTAGCTGAAGTGCAGGGTGAAGCTAAAGGACTCTGGAGAGGCTTTGAGCCTCCTCTGATGGGATTCTCTTTGGAGATGTTTAAAGGGATGCTTGTCCTACAGCGTGGGTGAGAGTCTCCCAGAGGGCCTTTCTCTTGCCATAAGAGCTTTTTCCGCTGTCAACAACAAATTCTCCCAGGAAGGGAGCCGGATTTGCCTGCCTGCCTGCATGTCTGTCTGTCTGCGTCTCTGTCCTCTTGATCCGCCTGTAGACTGTCTGCCAGGCCTGAGCCCTCCCGCGGAATCCAAAGCGCTTCCCCTGGGTGCGCCCGCGTTGGCGCAGGGTGAGGGATGAGCTGGGGTGGCCGCGGGGACTCCAGGCTTGGCAGGGCGCGCAGGCAGAGCACCTGCTGGAGGCCCCCGGGACTCGGCCACGCTCCACCCGACCCCAGCTGTGCTGGCCGGTGCAGGGTGCGGTCTCCGAGCTCGCTAGTCCGCGGCTCCAGGGTTCCGTAGGGCCCCAACTCCACACCAGGCTCCAGACCCGGGTAAGTCAACGGCTCCTGCCTCCCCGGGATCCACCCTGAGGGGTCTCTGGGACAGGTCTCTGTCTTCCAGGCACAGCGGGTGCCCCCTGGTACCGGGACCACTGATTCAGTACTTTAACCCCTCCTTTTCTGCCTGTCTTCACTAACAAAACAAAGTCAGAGGAACACATTGGCCACCGCGGAACAGCGAAAACATTTTCCCATTGTTAGTCCGTTATAGGCATTCTTGGAGAAAATTTGGAAAATACCTAAAAGCACCAAAAGAAAATTAAAACCACCACCCCGGTTCTCAGTCTCAGAGAGCCCTCCAGCCTTAAAAAGAGAAACTGATTTTATTTTATTTTATTTTATTTTATCACTTATTTATTTAGTTCGGGAAGGTTCTTGTGTCTTTGCCTTGGTCTGTGGGAAAGCACAGGACGCGGAGACCATGGTTACTATTTTGATTGCAGTCATGGGTGAAAGGGAAGCTTCAAAAGAAAACTGACCCAAGCAGCAGCCATGGTGGTACCCTGTCGGGCGTGCAAGGCACGGCCCCCTGCGATCTTCAGATGTCTGTATGAACCTCAACACAAGAAGTGTCGGGCTCGATTAGGGAAGACTGTGCCCATAACTAACTATAGCTGTCATTTATAGTCAGCAAGACAGGAACTTTGCCGAGTTTACACGCGCTTGAGTTCTTGTGGGAAAAGTGAGTTTCAGGCAGCCTTGACTGGAGCCAAACACTTCTGCCTTGCTTACCTGTTTGGTTTTCCCCAGCAGGGTGAGGATGGCAGCTCATGGTCCCAAGAAGACAGTCTTGTCATCACCCCATAGGACTTGCCTGTGGTCAGTGATTGGAAATGAATTATTGTTAAAAAAAAAAAAAAAAAAAAACAACACTCTAAGGACCACAGAGAGATTCAGATATGCCTTATAGGTTTCTGAGGGTGAGAGGGCGCCAGTGTGGTCTTTCCTTCTGGGAGTGGTGGTGGATGGAACACAGGCACTCATGCATGCCTGCATCTGATGAATGGTTACAATAGTCCCACTATACCCCAGACTCTGTTCCAGACAGGATGAAACATGGCTTGTGCACAGATCCCTGCCCTAAAAAGTTTACCTTGGGTAGAAAGACAAACATTAAACAGTGAACATGATAGTTAGGACGGCTATCTTGTACTGTAATCACATGTGATTACAGTACACACATGTAGGGTAAGTGTTACTGAGAGTAGAAAAGCTGGGTTGAAGTATATTCTCTATTAATAATTACTGGTTGCCTTAAATCTTTTTAAAGATAAGGTAAGTTTCAAATCCAAATATAGATATAGATAATAGAAATTGTAACATGCAAAATGAATCATAAAAATAAAAGCAAATAATATAAATTTTGACATGAAAACGGACTACATTGCAAGAGGCTTTGGGGTGATAACCTCCCAGAACTCCCAGAATTCAATGTCCTTTTTCAGTCATTGGTATTGAATCAAATACTTTGCACTAGCAAATCCTTATGGAAATTATCTGAGTGTTGGAGTGGAGACAGAGGCTTCTAGAATAAAATGCCCAGACACACCTATGCATTTGTCTAATATGAGATAGAATATGGGTCCCTTGGCAAGAGAGACAGAGTCTGGCACCATGAGGGGCCAAAACACAGCCTCAAGGCCTGGATGGGAGTTTTCACACAGTTTGGCATTGGATCCAGCTTTTGAAGGGTTGATAGAATTTTATCACATGGGTATGCTGAGCGCGCTGCAGGACCAAAGATCAGGCGGGGTAGTTTTACACTGCACACAGCCCTGGGGTATGGACAATATATATTCAGGGTAGATTTCATTAATCCAAGCTTTTAGATGGGAAACTGAGGTTCCTGGGTTGAATTTCATTGGCCTCTTCTTATAATTCTCTATCCAATATGATTACCCTCGTATTGAGTTTGACAAGTTCCCTCTCACAGCACCCTAGGTTAAATCTCATGAACAACACCCCAGTCCCCCGGTCTGTCACCCATGGAGAGGTCTGGGAAGGCCCTAGAACAATATCAGACTCACACAGGCCACATCGAGCCAGGAGGTAGCAGAAAGCAATTTCCAGGTCTGTGAGGAAGTGGAGTGGTTCTGGTCTCTGCAGTTTGTCCTAATTCCTTTGACAGATCCTGGCTGCTTCATTCCCCAGATAATTCTGGGGAGAAGGGGGAGATGGAAGACCAAGACAAAGCCAGCTTACTGCCTGGAAGGGTCTGGTGAGCCCCATCGGCTTCTTTCTTGCTGGGAGGTAAATGCAGTATGTGTGTTTCCAGAATTTGGATGTAGGGCTGACATGAACTGAAAGCAATAGCCAGTTGCTTCCAAGGAGAAGTGATGCTGAATTCTAGATTCAGCCAAGATCATATTGACCCAAATCAGGCCAGTCTTGAACTGCTTTTACCCTGATTCTGCTTCCTAAAACCAAAAAGGCCACATGCTTCCGCAGCTCTGTCCCTAAGTCTTGCTTAAGGAATGCTCTTTCAAGGAGCTGCTTCAGGACTCCTGTTAAGGACAGGAATGCACCCCCACTCCATTCAGATAAGGTGCAATTGGGAGAGGCTCTTTCAAACCTGGGAGGAACTGGAATCAGACTCCAGTTCTGACTGTGATCCCTGCCTCCCCTGTCTAACTATCTTCTAGAAGAAAGCCCTGCCAAGTAAGCAAACCATTAAGTCCTTAGAAAGTTGCCTCTTCTGGGAAAGCCTCTGTTCCAGGATCTTTCTGACTGTTATCAGTGCTGATAGACAACCTAGAAAAGTGCACACAGGGCGGTGGGGGACAGGAGTGCAGACTGGTGGTGTTTGGGGGCCACACAGGCTCCACTTGCAGCTGTTAGTTCCACTCAGCTGCCCAGCACCCTCTGTCCTGAGTGATTTCCAGCAGGTCTGCAGCTCTGGATCTAAGCTTCTAAGGAAAAACATACTCAAACTAGCTTAACTGGGAGCTCTCCATGCTTTAAACCCAATCAGATGCAGAAATGTGTAGCAACCTTCAAGGGGCCCCAGAGTGAGAATGTTCAACACAGGCAGAGCCTCGGGGCGGCTTTGCCTGAAGCTGGGTGTTTCTGCTTCCTATTGCCATGTCACCAGCTGCTTACTAGCTGTGTAAGCCACCAAAGCCAGGGTTCTCTCAGGGCAGCACTATGGAGGGCAGGAATGGATCAACTTCTAGTGACGTGTTGGGCTAAGAAGCCAATTCTCACTTTGAGAACCAACTGTACCCCAGAGAAGTGGCTGGTTCCTCAGTTCCTTTGAGCCTAAGAGTCTGCCTCCTCTCTAAGATCCTAGAAAAGAGATTAAATTCCTCATGTGTTTTTGATAGGAGGGATGGATGACCTTGGGCAAATCATCTCACCTCTATGGACCCGTTTTCTGTAAATTAAGACTGTTGAATCAATTGTTTCCCAAACCATTTCAGTCCAACAGTCTGACACCAGGGGCTTTGACATTATAATGGAAGTGAACTTGGAGAATCTGACATAACCTCCCTAAAGGCACACAGATTAGACTCTGTCATTTATACCATGACTATCACAAGGACATTGACTAACTCATTTAGAGACTTATTATACAAAATACCACAGTGACCCAGCCTGCAGGCTTTGGGGATGCAGAGGGCATTTAGCAAAAACAAGGCAGTAAATTAAACGTAAAGTTGAGACAATTTCCTTAAACATGCAAAGAGTTGTTATTTGAAAGGCAGTTAATTAAGCTGGCTTTTCTCGCCCAGCATAAAGCTCTGATGAGCTAATCACACTTTAAGGTGCTAGTGTGAGTTAGGATGGGCATAGTGGCGGTCATGGTGAAGATGATAATTTCTCTCTGGAGGCTTCTCTTCAGACTGTACCAGAGGCATGCGAGACTAAGAAAGGTCTAGAAAACAAGCAAGATGTGAAAATTAGACTAGGAAACCATGTTTTATATGCTAAGACAATTCTTCCATGTGTTCTGCAGCATAAAACAATGGTCAGTTCTCTATGGTCCCACCACACAGCCCAGATGCCTCAAACTTGCCTGTAAATTAGTGTAAGTTGTGAGGTACAGTAGTCTTTTTATGACAGAAAAACTAAAGCTCAGCACTGTATAAAGAAACTTAGGGTTCAGTTGGTAGCATGCTTGCTTAGCATGGACAAAGCCTTGGGTTTAATCCCAGGACGGCATAAACCAGGCATGGTAGCACATGTCTAAAATCCCAAAACTTGGTAGGTAGAGACAGGAGGATCAAAAATTCAAGATCATCCTCTACTACATAACTGGAGTTTGAGGCAAGCCTGGGCTACATAAAACCCTGTCTCAAACAAACAAAGAAACAAAAATAACCCATAGCGCTCCCTACAGTTCTGGAAGTCTGGCAGCTGGGAAGTCCAAGGTCATCAGGTTCACACGTGGCAAGAACTTTCTGTGTCATGCCATGGTGGAAAGAGGAAGGGCAAGAGTGTGACAGAGAGAGACAGAGAAGGGAGAGAGAGGAAGATGAAGGGGAAGAAAGAGAGGAAAGGAAGAGGAAGGGAGAGAGAGAGAGAGAAAACTCATTCTGTTATCAGGAACTCACTCTCGAGATATTGGTATAAGTCCGTTCTAATCATCTCTTAAAGGCCCCCACCTCTCAATACGGTTGCATTAGAGATTAAGTTTCCTGCACATAAATATTTTGGGGCTACAGGAGGCTTTTTAAAAGTCCCATGGTGGCACACGCTTGTAGTCCTAGCACTTGGGAGGCAGAGGCAGGACGATCTCTGTGAGTTCAAGGCCAACCTGATCTACATAGTGAGCCCCAGGCTAGCTGGGGCTACAGGGAGACCCTGTCTCAAAAAGACCAAAAAGAAAAGAAAAAAAAGTCCCAGGGCCAAGCAAAAACCTAGATCAACATTGATGGAGACTCTGCAGCAGGATCCAGGGATCATTATTTTCTGAGAGCTCCACAGGAGATTCCAAAGGACAGTGAGTGGCCATGGTCTCCAGATCCTCAGTGCCACCCTGGACTGTGCTTGAAATTCAAATTGACAAGCGCCACCCAAAGCTTACAGGATCCAAAATGCCCAGCAATCTGCCTTTCAATAAGGATGGCGTAGACCCAGGAGGTTTTTAAAGCAGATGTTTTGGGCTGTTTCCTCTGGCCATAGACATTTCCATCTGTTTTTAAGTAACAAGTCTTTGCAGTAAAACCACCAGTATTAATTAAATACAGAAGTGAATTCTAAATTAGTTTCTGTGTGGAGTTATTGATTCTAAACCAATTAACATTTGGATCTCCAAATGTTACCTGCCATAACTCACATAGTCACCAATCTATAAGAACTCCCTAATAGTAATTGGTAGTAGGATTATTTGCCAGTTGTGGTCACTCTGGGGTTTTAGAAATACAATTATATCAGCAGCTCAAGTCCTGCTCTTTTCTGGGACAGGGATTTATGCATTCCTAAATGACTTCAAGTTACTTAAGAAAAAAATCATTGCACTATGAGCTGTGGTCTCTTTCCAGATGAGTCCTGCTTGCCCTTGTGGTCAGAATGGGGCTAGATTTCAGCTTTGCTGAAGAATCAGTAGCTTGGTGTCCCTTCACCAACCTCAATGGCCTTTACACACACTCAAGTCTATCAATCAGAAAGACCATAGAAAAGCTTCAGCCCTCATTCATAATGGATCACTCCAAAAAGTAGATGTGGTTGTCAGCCATGGGAAAGCCAAGCCTAAAACCCCAAAGCCACAAATTCTTGGACTACAACTTCTTAACAAGGGAGAAAATCCAATAAACTCATTGTGTTAGTCATTTTCCATTGCTTTCTCGAATACCTGAAAAAATGATTATTTTGGCTCCCAGTTTCAGAGGTTTCAATTCATGGTTTCTGGGCTCCATTGGCCATTTGGCTCCATTGCTTCTGGCACAGTGTGAGGCAGAATGGTACACGGTGAAACAGATCTTCTGACCTCATGGAAGGCAGGAAGCAGAGAGACATGCCAGAAAAGAGCCAAGAGGAATGCAGACCCTTCAGAGGCACCTCCTTACTGACCTGGAATCTCTATCCCTGCTGGTTAGCTTTCATAGGGCTGGAAGGTGCTATGCATGCTACCAGGGGAGAAAAGTAATCCATCAGTCTTACCCAGCTGTGAACCCTCTGAGCTACAATAAGGACAAGCCTGGCAGGATATGCCACCTGGTGCAATAATGGCACAAATGTTGTGGGAGTGACCAATGGCTTTATGATCAGGTTCATGGCCCACTCCACAAGATGGGACTCATGCCTAGCACCATTAATGGGATCAAGAACCCATGGTTAGGTCATAGACCTTAGGGGAGAACCTACTGCTACTATTCTACTAACTGGACATAGTATTAAACCAAACACTAATGACCTATTGTTATACCTATAGATTAGTGCATTTATCAAGCCTTATCAAAGAAGCTTTTTGCAGTAGATGGTGATTAACTCAGGGACCCACTATTGGTCAGTGTGCAGAGAATAAGAAACTGTGACATGCTCAGCCCTAAATGGAACATCTATTTTATGCCCCCTCCTCCCAAGGCTCAGGGATGATTATGGAAGAGGGGGTGGAAAGATCATAAGAGCCAGAGGTAGTGGATGAACGCAAGGAAACAGTGTTTTCCAGATACAACAGGGAAGTCACACATCTGAACTCACAGTGGTTGTGACAGCATACACAAGACCTGTGCAAGCTCAAACTAGACAAAATCCCAGTGTGGAGGGGGAAGTCAGGCATAAATCCTCACCCCTAGCTGAGGAGCTATTGGCAAATGATGGCTTCGGAAGAGGGAGAGTCAGTTTTCTTCAAGGATTTGGCCCCTGAGAAGCTACCTATGATCCAGTAGATAGCCCTATGCCCATGTAAGTGGACTCAGTGGATTTAAAAAGAAATAAAACACGAAATTGGGTGGGAATATTGGTAGGGGATAGAGGAGGAGTTGGAGGGGAGGAGCTGAGGGGTGAACTTAATCAAAACACATTATACACATATATGAAATTCTCAAAAAATAAAAATGAACAGAAAAAGCACTTCACCAGCAACCCCCTTCTTCAATTCAACCTCACCTTCCGAGTTCTCTGGGGTGGGGATGGAGTCTAAGGATCCTGACAGTAACGAGGTTGGCAGGGACATCTGTATGATGCAAATCCAGCCCTGTGCACCAAAGGAGGCTTCAGGAAGGAGAGGAGAGCTGAATTTGAAAGCCTGAGCAGCAGGCTGTGGGGTTTCATGGACTGAGCTTGAGAAGCATCATTGGGGGTGGGGGCTCTGAGCTGGAGATCAGCAAAGTCATGAGGCCGTGTGAAAGTTTCAGTGAAGGGCCAGCAAGACTGGAGAGCGGAGTTTGGGGGTAGTCGAAACAATGGAGGACTTGAGCAGGGCTCCTCACAATCAGGGCTATCCATAGATGTGCTCAAGATAGGGCACTTCAAAGGGAAGCCTTCCACCTAGGACTGATGTGATGGGATTCACTCCAGTACTGAGTAGCAATGCTGTACAGCTCACCGAGGCACAGGCAGGATGCTCACAGGATCTGCTACGGTGCTGAGTACGAGCAGCCTGGGAACGGTCAGAAGGAAATTGTGGTGAACACTGGTACACAACTCTTAGACTGAAAAGAGAGACCTGGAGTCACGGCCATGTGTGTAATCCTGAAGGAACAGATGTGATCACCAGGGCGAGAACGAGGTGAGGAGAGGATGGGACAATGGTAGAATTCCAAGACACATAAACATTTCAGTGGTGGATAGAGCAAGCAGGGGCTTCAGAAAGTGTAGAACATCCTCTCCTGAAGTGGGATCAGTGTTCATTTTGTCTTCTGTTTTTATTAGATTTTTATGCATTCCTTAATTAGACCCTCTCCCCTCTCTGCACACCCCCATACCCCCCACCAGATTTCATGTATTCTGCCATGTATGTTAAGGGCCTATCGAGTCAAGTTTCTGTCCCCAGATGTCCATCCACTGGAGCCTGCTCAACCTATCTAGTGTCACTCTTTAAAAAAGACCAACTGTCCTTCACCAGGAGTGATCAGTTGCCACCAGTTCCTCAGCTAAGGTTGGGGTTTTGTAACCGTTTCCCCGGTTCTATGCTGGGTTTTTGTTTCTGCAGAGGCACCACTCTGCAGCTTTTTATTCTTTACATTTTGGCCAGTTGTGGCCTTTTGTGTTCATTGCCCTCTGTTGCATGAGGACGCTTCACTGGTGCATGTGTTCACACTGGCATGTGTTTGGTATCTGGTAAGCACTTCATCCTGCATCATAACATGGCAGAGGGCATCACATGGTAACACAGAGCAAGTTAGCCATAGATAAGCCATTACATCCATGAATGACTTTGTAGATAATAAAGTCACTCCTACAATAACACTAATCTATGAATGGATTCATTCATTCATGAGGGCAGAGTTCCCATGATACAGTCATCTCCCAATGGTCCTAGCTCTCAGCACAGTTACATTGGGAATGAAGTTTCCAATACATGAACTTTTGGTGACACAGTCAAACCATGCAACCATCCATTGCATAGTCTTTCCAAGGGGTTCCTGACAGTACTGCAGTCTGACTAGTTATATAAACTACCATGAAATGTGTAATTTTTTTCAGGCCCATAGAACAAGGAGGGGAATTTAAAAAATTTTTTATTACATTTATTTATTTTGTGTATGTGGGGGGGGGTATGGGTGTGTGGGTACCACATGCACATGTAGAAACAAGGGACAACTTGCAAGTGTAGTTTCTATCCTTCTATTATGTGGGTCCCAGGGATGGAACTCAAGTCCTCAGACTTGGCTTTAACCCACTGAGCCATCTTGCTGGCCCATCTCCCTTGTTTATGCAGTTAGTAGTCACTGTGGTGCCCCTCTCTGGGGAAGTGGGCAGAGAAATGAAATGAGTGTTTGACCTGGTTCCATGCAATAGTTGGGCATGATGAGGGAATGCACGCACACAGCAATGTGAGTAGGTCATGAAAACACACTGATAAGGAAAAAAGGAAAGAGACCCAATGAGACACATGACCTAATACTGTTTATGTCAAGTAAAATGCATACATACAACACAACCATATGCAGCATATACTGACAGGGCTCAACTTAATGGCCACCTATGAGAGGCTTGTGTAAATGATGAGTAGAAAAGGGAATCAAGTTATCAACTGATTGACCCAGAGAGAGCATGGTACACACTACGGACTAATGGACTAGTGTACGCTCATCACTGTCACCTGAGACTCTGAAGCATTATGTGAATGTGATGGGAGATGACCACCAATACATACTTTTTATTTCAAGTTGCATTTTTCTTTTAGGAAATTGTCTCTACATCAGTGAAACCTCAAAGGCCAGGATGACCCTGTCTAATTCCACAACTGTGATGCCCTTTCTGACCACGATGTGGCAGGAGACAGTTGAACAGAATGGCAATGCGTCTGGCCTGGCTCGCAGGTCTCCCCTCCGAGACGACAGCAAACTGGAGGCCCTCTACATCCTCATGGTGCTGGGCTTCTTCGGCTTTTTCACTCTGGGCATCATGCTGAGTTATATCCGCTCTAAGAAGCTGGAGCACTCACACGACCCGTTCAACGTGTACATCGAGTCCGACGCCTGGCAGGAGAAGGACAAAGCATTCTTCCAGGCCCGTGTCCTGGAGAGCTGCAGAGCTTGTTATGTCATTGAAAACCAGGTGGCTGTTGAACAGCCCACCACACACCTCCCTGAGCTGAAGCCTTCATCATGAACCCCCACAGCTAGTTAAGAGTAGACAAGCCGGGGCTGGAGAGATGACTCAGTGGTTAAGAGCACTGACTTACAGAGGACCTGGGCTCGATTCCCAGCACCCACATGGTGGTTAACAACTGTCCTTAACTCTAGCCCCAGCGGATCCAACACCCTCTTCTGACTTCTTCAGGCATTGCATGACATGGATGCACTTATAGACATGCAGGCAATATACTCATACACGTAAGATAAAAATAATAAATTTTTTTAAAGTAGGGAAGCCCTACATGTGACAGTCTGGTCTTTCTAGTTATGGGCCTGACATGTTATTGTAGGAATACCATTAGAGTTTTTGCTCTTGAAAGGTTGCAGGGTGCATTAATGACGCAATCACATTCCTTCTTTGGTAGACCATCAGTTTGCTCTCCGATACTTATTCTTGTCTTTTTAAATCTTGAGACTCCCAGATAACACAGCCTCCAAGAATACTGGCTGGGTTTCTCAAACTCTCTTGAAGTCAGCAGTCTCATGACAAAGATCTGGACAGTAGACATGGAGAGGATGGGTTCAGTTTCTAAGTAGTCTATGGAAAGGGAAAGGCATGCCCTCCATCGTCCTTGCCCCCTGCCCCGTCCAGGTGGCCAGAACATGGATACATTTGAGGCAGCTTTGACAGAAAGAGCAACATACTCTCAGACAGCAGAACAAGCCCAGGACAAGAACAAGGCAACACAGCAACAGCCCCTCACCTCCTGTGTCATCCACTCTGTTGGAGTTCATAGGAAAGAGCCTGGAACTCCACACTTCCTGCAGCCACTTATTTGGTCCCTGTTCACGTTGCAGAATCAATATCCTTACTAATGTGCCTGCCTTACACACTGATTCCCACACATGCAGGAGCACAGTGCAAGGTGCTCAGGTACCATTAGAGGGAAAGCTGCGCCCTCCCCGTACCCCCACCATCCCAAAGGGTACAGGGGAAGGCATGGATATAGGCACTGGTGACACACCAGACTGAAATGAGAGGATTGTTGAGGTGACAGGCTTGTTTTGTGGGATGAATTGTTCCCTGAGAGACACGCTCATGTTCTAATGCGCAGTACCAGTGAACGTGGCCTTATTTGGAAATAGGGTGTTTACCAATGATCAGGTTTCCATGAGTGGCTGAAGCAGGACTGGGGTCCTAATAAGAAGAGGGACCCTTGACACACACAGGGAGAACACCATGGAATGCTAGAGATTGGAGGGATGAGGACAAGAGCCTAGCAGTGCCAAGGATGGACTGCCACTGGGAGCTGGAGAAAGGCAGGGAACAGTTCTCCCGCGGGCTGCAGGGGAAGCAAGGCCCTCCCATGCCTTACTTTCAGATTTTGGCCTTGAGAACCGGGGTCAATGCCTGTCTGCTGTTCAAGCCCCAGCTTGGGAGACTTTGATAAGGCAGTCTAGCCAACTGATGCAGCCTCTGTCGCCTCCTTCCCTCCCAGATAAGACGGAAATGGAGGAATTAAGAGTGGAGGAGGATGGCACCTCTGCTCACAAGGCCACCTGAAGAGAACACAGGGAACCAGTGCTCCTGGGGGCTAGCCTTCTCAGCAGACATATAAGACCTAAGGACCCTGTGCCATCCCGAAAGCTCACCTGCATGGGCATTCCTGGAAAGTGTAGAACTTAAATAAAACATAATTTTAAAAATACTGAACATAGGGTCAGTGAGACGGCTCAGCAAGGGGGGCACTTCCTGGCAGGTCTGACGACCTGAATTTGATCCCTGAAGCCCATGATGGGAAGAGAGAATGACCTCAGAAAGTTGTCCTCTGACATTCATATGTGTTGTGGCTGCACACACTTGCACACACACATATACATCATAAACACAAACAACAATGAAAAAATTAAAAACTGAACATAATATAAATAAAAAGCAGCACACAAACACCACCAAACGTCTTACAATAGACAAATTTGGCCCTGTCTAGTCCTCATTTCCCACAATGAAGTGATTCCTCTGTGTGTTCTTAGGGGACTTTTCTAAAGCAGACCCCGGGTATGGATCAGTCTCTGAGTTAGGACAGCACCTGAACACTTTGTTGGATCTCGGAGTCCTTTGAAACTCTAATAGAATTGTAGATTCCTCATCTCCCCAAGATGTACAAGACACGTTTTGCCCACTGTCTCAAAGTCTCATGAGCAGCTGGAGCCCAGCTGAGGCTGCTCTCTCCAGCCTTTGTGTGAACCAAACTGCTTCAGACAAACATGTGTTGCCCAGACAGGAAGGAGGTTTGGAGAGGGACCCAGAGCACTTGTGACTCACAGAATGGTTTGTGGTGACATATTGACCTTGATAGGCCCTGAGTATACAGACATCCTTATCAGCAGTTCACTTTCTGCCACCGAGATTCCTGTGCCTTTTAAGGCAAGAGCAATCCAAGGGCTTTGGAACTCCCTGCCCTAGAAGGACCAGGCCTCACACTCACTTCCCCTAACTGCAGACTTATCTCTTCTTCTTCTTCTTCTCTCAGGCTTTTAATTTAAAAGGGGGAGGCAAGGAGGGGAGGAGAAAATGAGAGCCACAAATTTTCAAATGCACAGTATCATATTATAAAAGTCAATTTCGCATACACACACAGAGGGCTAACTACGTGCTAGGCACTGTTCCCAGCTCGTTGTGAGTAGAGTCTCAGTTGATATTTCACATGCAATATTTCACGTGTTCATTGGAAAGGACAGTACTTTTTGCTGTATTAATGACATTTTTAAACAAAGTCTTCTATCATGATCTTGGTTGTGTCTTACTATAACTATGATGATTTTTTTCTCAAAATTCTTTATTAATTTTTAAATTTTATGTGTGTGAGAGGGCGTGGGGATCCCTTGGAACTGGGATGGTTATTAGCTGCCATATGGGTGCTGATAACCAAACCCTCTGCAAGAGCAGCCAGTGCCCTCAACCCCTGAGCCATTTCTCCAACCCCGGCTGTGATACTTTTAAAAGATACACAGAGTGTTTGAGGGGCTCTGTAAGGCAGCCCCAATTGCCTGGGGATGGTTGTCTTTCATCAAAGCGTATCATATCAGAATGGAAAATCATGGACCCCTCTAATGCCTGCAGATGAGAAACAAGGGACTGCAGCCTCAGAAGGGGACAGGACTGTGGCAAACTGTGGCGCACCCCTCCTTGTAAAGTGGTGGGGTGTCACTTAACTCCCACTTCTGCAGCAGCAGGGAATACAGGCAGAATCTTGATGAAATTCTGGCTTCTCTAACAGAAGTTGTAAAGTCTCCTGACTTTATTTTTACCCTTGAATTTGCTTTATTGAGGATGGGGGTTAGATATAGAAGTTCCAGGGTACAGCTATATTCAGAACAAAATGTTATATCCTACAATAAAAAATAATTTTTTATTATTTTTTTT